GTGGATGGGGTGTGGCTGTGAGTATGTGGGTAGGGTGTGGCTGTGGGTATGCATGGATATGAGAATTGTACCCATACCCACACTTAGGTGTGCCGTAGAAACACCGAAAGGAAAAATGTCGAAAGGAAAAATATCGAAAATTTCGAGTAAAAGACGTTCTTTATTTTTGATATAATAATAACACTGTAACATAGATTATACTTAAGTTAGAGATAAGAAAAAGAAAAAAAGTAAGAAAGTGTCATTTCTTTCGTTTAGCAACTGTGAATGATAAACCATCTAAATATTCCATTACATTCATAAGACCATCATAATATCGTTTATCAAGATTGTCTATACGAGGTTGAGTAGAAATTGTTTTGGCTTGTTTTGATCTTGCACCTAACCCTGCAGTAAATTGAGTATATATATGATGAAAACGACACTCTTATCCTTGTAGAAATTTTATGAACGACCAAATATTTGAATGATTAACTTGCACTTGATGATTAAAACGACTATGAAATGCTACATAAAACATAAAGGTATGAAATTACGAAGGAGATAAAATGAAATGTTTACCCTCGGCATTGTTATTAGTTCTCATGCCAAAACCAGGAACACACCATTGAGAAGTAGAAACTTTCACAAACCATTGTTTTTGAAAGTATATTAATAAATCATTCATTGCTGTTCTCATTGTTGTTGACAAGTTGCTTACTAATTCATCATATGTATCTTCAATAACAGGTTCTGGTAATAATGGAAGAGCCATTAATTGTCGGCATAGATGTTTAACAGCATCATCATTGCTGTACGATGAGGATAATCCAAGTCATTGCATATTACGATATACAGCTTACGTGAAATGAAAATAACAAGAAGAATGTTTTGCTGTGCTAAACTATAAGATAAAAATTTAAACATATGCTTCCATCACAAGAAATATAGAACACTTACTTCAGCTTTAACTACACCTATCAAAGCTGGTTCGAAATTACTCATAACTATTTTCGGTGTAAAATCGAGTTTTATTTGAACAGCTATCGCTTTTAACTCATAAAAAAAACTGATATGTACTTTTCAATCTATTTGGTAATAAACCAAACACACAAGGAAATGCTAAACAGATAAAAATTAGACTGATACAGATGGCTAAGAGCAAAAGTAATTTACTCATATTGTTCGTATTTGATAGAATGTATTTTGTAACCTGATCGAATATTTTTGGACAAGATGAGAAAGTTCTGTCCATGAGAATCGTTTCTGCTGTAAAGAGCATTTTCAATTGTTCAGGCGACGAAAATAAAATCATTCTTTGTCGCCTTGTAATCATCTTGTCAACAATCAAAAAATGGATGTTTTTCGATTTTTTTTGTATAAGGATGAGGAATATCAAATAATTGTGTTGTGGGAATTGTAGGCGTGAGACCACGACGTGCATTATTAAATGCACTCTCTTAAAATTAACAACAATTTCACATGCTAAGGTTAAGCATCCAACAACACTATTTGCTTATTTATTTCACGTTCACTTGGTAATATAGCTATTGATAAAGTTGATAACATTGCTTTTGCACATTCTTCATCATAGATACGTGGAATGAGTGTTGTCTCATTTATTGCTCGGTGTTTCACATTTTTTCGAAATTCACGCACATCTATCCTTTCTGATTCAGCAGGGTGACAATGTTCACCAATCATTTTAATGAAATGATCATTTATATTTGTATGAATTTTCGCTGAGCATTCAATAAGTGTACATATCCAATATTTTTTAGTTGTTGTTGGTTTGTTCAATTTGAAAAGGTATTTATCTAATACAAGCAAAGGTTTTCCTTTTTGCGACTGAATAAATGAAATCACTGTTGAGGGTGGTTGTTTCTCATATAATGAAGATGAAGCAGCTGTGGTCATAATAACAGATTTTCAATTGTATAATATTATATTTCTGACTATTTCAGTTCTTCTCTGTCAGATATCACTCTTCATTGTTACTTCTGTTTATAGTGCTGGATTAATAGAAGAATGAGAAAACCAATAATAAACTGTAGGGGATTAAAGTTAGCGATTACGGAAGAGAATACTCTTCGATATTAATCCAGTTTCGACATTTTCCCCTTTCGACATTTCCCTTTCTATATTTTTTCTTTCAACATTTTCCACCTCTGTACCTATTTTTTGACATTTTTCCTTCGACATTTTTTCTTTCGACGTTTCTACGGCCAACCCACACCCACACCCATAATTCGCCAATTATTATTCATCAATCTTCTCAATTAATTAACATAATTTCTATATATATGTCATTTTTTTGTTTGTTTTTTGTTATTCATGAAGATGATAAGAGTATCTTATCGAAAGCTTGAATAAAATAATATATGATTTTTGTTTAAAATCTACTATGATATTCGTAGCAGTCCTATACTCACTATTCACTAAATTATTTAATACTGCTTTACCTTCAAACTATATATTATCTACTCGCGCTAAGTATGGCGAGTCTATATTCTTGACAATTAGACAAACTGGAAAACTATCAATTAAACTTCAAAAATGTAAATGCGATCTTGAATTCATTCGTCTTTGCCTCATATATAATTTAACACCTACATTTGTCAAATAAACTTCTGGAAGAAAAGAATAAATAACACTCCTGAATTCTCACACTTTAAGTAATTTTGCCTTAAAAAGGGATACCAGAATCGTTATAAAAATAGCATTAAATATGAAACTGAAACGAACAAATAATAAATAATTTAAAAACTAAAATAGTACACTCAGATTATAAATCATTACAAAAATATTTACATGAAAGATCTAAAAAGATACACGAAAAAGTAACAAATATACATCATGAAAAGTTAGAAAGATTAAATAATAGTAAAATAGGTCAAGACTATTACTCACTTCGAAGAAAACTCATACATAATTGTAACGAAAAATATAGACATATATATAATTAATGGCATATAATCGTATATATATATATACATATATATGTATATATATTTGTTAATGACAAATGGAGAGGCACATTAAAAGTCTTTGATCCCATTGTTGGGCATGATGTTTATTCGACTAGTGCATTACATCCGAATGTGCACTACCTTCAAATGTGCACTTACATTCAAATGTCCACTGACTCCAAATGTAACTATCTAATACATAACATGAGCTTATATAGGAGAGAGATGGAAGAGAGAAGAGAGAGAAAAGAGAATACAACATCAGAGGAGAAAGGAAAGAGGAATGATATAACAGAATATCACACAATCGTATCTTTTACATATGAAGGACACGTTTATATACGATGAGGTCAAGGAGAGAACAGACATAGAGGAACCGTATAGTATACGACTGAATGGCGTTACATAATGAGAAGCGCATAACGACGCAAGAGAACAAAGTTAAATCACACATAGATGAATGTACGAGCAATACAATCCACAAACACTGTGTATCATCGATTGTATGAGAACACACTGAGAAATACAAGATATCACATAAGCTAATATGCCCATTGGCACAATAATATATCATCGTACATTCCGTCTCCAGCTGAAGAACGTTTGCTATGCAGATGATGGGATTTCTGTATCGAAAATAAAATCACTAACTTCATTGAGTTTAAGGTCGATATCGAATTAAATGCATCTAAACTTCAAACACATTGTCATCGTAGTGCATTTTCAACATTCTATCACAAATTATATAATTACTCTGACACATATATGAGATCACTTAAAAGAAAAAAAATTAGAAACATTAGTGATGATGAATTTGATGCACTTAAATCATTAAGAAATAATCATAATATAGTTATTTGCCGTGATGATAAAGGAAATTGTATAGCTATATTAGATAGAAAAGATTATATTGAAAAGATTAACCGAATTCTTGAATTAAAACAATTTAAAAAGACTGAAGATTCATCATTAATTGAAAAAGAAAACTCTATGAATAAATATATACTAAAATTACATAAAGATAATGTCATTGATAAAGAAACATACTGGTAAATTCGCTCTACTTCCTCATCTTATGCAACTATGTGTGGACAACCAAAAGTACATAAAAACCAACTACCCTCTTAGACCCATAATTTCTTCTATCGGCTCCTATAATTATAACCTTTCTAAATACTTATACCAAATAATTAAAGATAATAGACCAAATCATTCATCTTCATTCGTTAAAAACTCATTTGAATTCGTAAAAAGGATAACAGGAATTAAATACAGTACTAATCAAATTATGGTCAGTTTTGATGTCGATAATTTATATACTAACGTACCTGTTAATGAAGCTATTGAAATTACTCTTGATATGATATTTCAAAAATCTAGTTCTCCACCCATTCCATTTAATAGATCACAATTTAAACAACTGTTAGAATATGCAGTATGTAATGTGCGATTTAGATTCCTTAACAAAATATTTTTACAACTTGATGGAGTAGCAAGGGGATCACCTCTAGGTCCAATTTTAGCAGATCTATTCATGTCAAATCTCGAACGAAAATTAAATAAGTTCTCTACTAACAAACCGCTAACATGGCTAAGATACGTAGATGATGTTTTCTGCATTTTTAAAACTAATCAAAATATTAAAGATTTTCTAATGAGAATCAATAAGTCGCATCCAAATATTAAATTCACACCTGAGCATGAACATGATGATAAACTTTCATTCCTAGATGTATTAATTCAGCGTGATAACATTAATAATATATATAATACGAGTTTATATAGAAAACCAACAAACACCAATCTCTATCTACTATACAAAAGTAATTAATGTAGAGAATATAAATTAAGCTTAATTAGAACATTAGTTATTCGTATTCATCTCATATGTTTAACAGATGCATTAAAAGAATATTAAATTAAATTAAATTAATGAAAGAAACTTTAATAACTAATGGTTATCCATCTCACCTCTTTAGAAAAGGCATACGTGAAGAAAAAGTCATTAGCATTAGAATCTCAAAAGGAAAATCGAAAGATCTACAAAAATCATCTGAAATAAAAACAATATATTTCCTGATCACCTACTATGGTTATGAATCAACCATACTAGCACATCGAATTAAACAATCATGCAAAAAACTACTACCACTCATTAAGATTAATGTATGCTTTAGAAAAACATATACAATTAAGAGTCTATTTCTGCCTCTCCAAAAAGGACTAGACGACTCAAAGAAAAATAAAAACCTGATTTACAAAATACCTTGCTTGAACTGTAATAAATGCTATATAGGCGAAACAAACAGAACGAAACAAACTCGAATGAAAGAACACAAAACCGATGTAAGAAAATTCAGCGAATCATCTAATGTTGCAAAACACGCTAACACAGAAAACCATACATTCGATTTCGCAGGATCTGAAACCTTATCCCTCGAATCGAATTGGAGAAGAAGAAAAATTAAGGAAAGTCTATTCACTCATCAAATGCAACATAAATCCTTAAATGATGTTAAATTCAAATTAAATATATTTGGATAAAACGAATAAAAGCTGCCTTTTGGCATTTTTTGGAGTCCCAATACGTTCTACGAACATAATAATTCGCGAATTATTATTCATCAATCTTCTCAATTAATTAACATAATTTCTATATATGTCACAGGCAAAATTAAACTTTAGGCAAATTTAAACTTAGGCAAAATTGATTATATTAGGCGCAAAATTTTATACATATATATTCTTTTTTTGCTGCATTTTTTTAATTTGGAAATAATTGTTAATTATCATATGTATTCAAAAATTTCAACCGTTTGGTTGACTATTTCATTAATGAATGCATCAATTAATCTTTGTGTAAATATAATCGGTACGATACATTTTCTACATTAAAGTTGTTAATGAAAAGTCTTATGCAAAAAAAAAAGAAATTACAATCTAATTATAAAACATTTAATTACTTCTTCTTTTTTCGGACGATACTTTTTCGTGAGACTCATTAAAAAATTTTTTTGCTATTGGAGAATATTTGCTATTCAACCAAAAACATCTCATATCTATTAATTATGATCTTTTGAATCACTTGTTTGACGACTGTCTCCAATTTTTTTCGTATATTAATTATGCGATGTAATTGATGATGTAAGCAGGTGTCGATACAATAAGACAACTGATTTGAATTTTATTCTTATCATCTTCTCAAAAAAAAACGAAAAACTCTTTCTAAAACACATATTTACTAATCAGAGTTTATATTTTATAATGTTGTTTTTCATCCTCTAACTTTTCCTTTTTTTTATCCGTTTTTTGATCGGTGAGAAACCATAAAGTATTCTGATGATCAATGGAAATGAGAAAGTCAGTATTCTGTATGAGTTTGATTTCACATTGTACAACGTCACGTTTTCCGATGATTTTCTATTTTCGTGTTAAGCTAAGAATGAAAAATAAATGCTCAATTATGAAATAGTTGATAAGAAAAAAAAGGATATTTTATTTTTATTATTACTAATTTTAATCATACAAAAACAAATAAACCTGAAACCATGCAACTACTATTTAAGGTTTTGTATTCTCTAGTTTTCTTCTTTTCCTTTTTTCTCTTCATTTTTTCGGTTTTTGTTTTGTTAGAAGCTACAAAAAATATTTGAATAAAAAGCTCGAAATCAGATATTTGACATTGACTTCTTTTTGTTAACATAATATGGTATCACTTTTTCGTTAAATTTTTCTTTTCGTAAACTAAGAGTGAAGTTTTAACGGTCATCTATAAAGATAGTAGCAACACAGATAGATACTTAATCTTTATTATTGTTATATTAAAAACGTAAACCTCATACTCGAACCATACGATTGCTGATTAGATTTTCATATATCAACATCAGTTTCTCTTTTCTTCCCCCCATTTTTTCCTTTTTTTTTTTTGGTCGGCCAAAAGCTAGACACTAACTCTCATGGTACAGAACTTTACAGCTTATTATTCTATGCCTAATCGGCTTCATATCATATCGTATCGATTGTTTCACGGTCATCTTTTTTTTCGAAGTGCGACTGAAATTTAAACGATCATCTATAACGATACTAACAAGAATTAGCTCTTGATAATATATCAGTATTTTCCCTTTTGTTAAAAATAATAGCGTATTGTCAAAGCAACTTAATAATTATGACATTTATTTGTTAGTTTAGGGTCTCTTTTTCTCTGTTACTTCTCTTGCCTAGTTCATGCTGCATCTTCACGCTTTAAATAAATGACTAGATATATTACAATTCACTCATGGAGAATCATTTCAACAGATTTTCTCAACAAAACTAAAACACACGCGACAAAGCCATCGGCCAGAACATAATCACAGCTAATAGATCTACCACACCCAAATAAACAGAGTTGTCACTCACTGTGTTAAAAGACGACCAGATAGTATGCACATTTTAGATCGAGATCATCAGATTTCAATAATAATCACAAAATTCTTTATCTTTTTGAATCTAATGATTATGTCGAAAGAAAACACTAGCGAACTCTACATCTTCCTAAATTGAATGATTATTTTTAAAGAGATAGTTAGTGAACTCTACATCTTCCTAAACTTAATGATGATTTTAATAGAAATAGCTAGCGTACTCTACATCTTCCTAGATGTAATAATGATTTTTGTAGAAATACCTAGTGAACTCTACATCTTCCTAAAATTAATGATGATTTTAAAAGAAATAGCTAGCGTGCTCTACATCTTCCTAAAACTAATGATAATTTCAAAACAAATATTTAGCGCACTCTACATCTTCCTAGATGTAATAATGATTTTTGTAGAAATAGCTAGTGAACTCTACATCTTCCTAAATATAATGATGATTTTAATAGAAATAGCTAGTGAACTCTACATCTTTCTAAAATTAATGATGATTTTAATAGAAATAGCTAGTGAACTCTACATCTTCCTAAAATGAATGATAATTTTAACAGAAATACTTAGTATTCTTTACACCTCAATTTTTCTAAATACTTTTCAATTGAACTCACGAAATTTCGAATTTCAATTCATTTTATGTGTTATTAAATGAATAAATTCCGATTTTATTTTAAAAATTTAATTTTTCAAAATGTAAATTTAATTTTTCCTAAGTCTCAATTTTGCCTGACACATATATATGTCATTTTTGTGTACTCAAAAAGTGAGTACACTCTAGAATCGGTCAGTGTATCCGACCAGCCGTTTACACGATAACTTTCGAAAGGAGAGTCCGATCACGATGAGATTTTCTATACAGTTCAGTCTTAACAATGTCTCGATCGAGTTCGAAGATGAGCAAGATCTGTCAAGAAATGGCTGAGTTATCGAAAAATTGTCATTATTGAGAAGACCATCCCTGAGGAGGGGGGGGGGGTACAGGGATTTTTTCAAAAAAAATTATTTTCTCCGAATTATTCACAATATATATAAATCGACTCAGTTTTTAATGCTGATTCCGACTCTGATATTAGTTTTGAACCAAATCGTAGCTTTCTAACAAAACACCCACAGAAAAAGGTCTCAAAATGCAAAAAAACTACATGAAGAAAGCAAATAGGCTAGATATGTCTCAGATGATAAAAAACAAAGTGAATATACCTGTTCACTTTTTGAAGTACTCAACACTCGGATTTAAATCCGACTTTTTCGCATTTATTTTGTTTGTTTTTTGTTATTCCTGAAGATGATAAGAGTATCTTATCGAAAGCTTGAATAAAATAATATATGATTTTTGTTTAAAATCTACTATGATATTCGTAGCAGTCGTATACTCACTATTCACTACAATAAATGTTCATTTTTTATCAAGTGATTATCTATCAGAAGTGTACGCAATCCATTCTTGCTGATCTGAATTATACATAAGTAAGAATATTGCTATGCATACATGGACATATATTATAACACAAACGATCTTTCTTGAATTGCTTTTTTGCATGGTAATTTACAACTGTACAAAGATCAGCTCGTTTAATCCAGTTTATCGCTTGAAATATCTAAGCTGCGTATGCTTGCTGTCTTTTGTCAGCATACATTTATCGAAGTTTACAGTAATCACGAAGTTTAAATCAAATTGGTCGTTGACCATCGAATTCTTCTCTTATGCCTGTTGGATAAATCCATGGAAAAGTGTATTCTTCCATTCCGGACTGAATTTTCCCAATAGGATCTTCATCTGATTTTAGAGTACGACTTTTCTAATACTTAAATTTTATGTCCTGGAAAATTTAATAAATCATCTTAGATCTAGGACCAAGAACAGCTACATCAGCATCAAGAATAATTGGAGCAGACTTTGTGGAATTATTGTATGTATATGCATCAATTATTCGAATTGAAGTAACGTCCACTTTTCAGTATTGAAACATCTCTTCAATTTTTTCCAATGGAAGAACTTGCTTGTTTATACATCCAACGTGATGCTAGATAAGATATTGAATGGCACGAAGAATTTGAACGGCACTACATGAGTATCTAAATGTTGATTTTATTTCAGTATTTTCATTCATCGGTTTCTGTTGAACAACTCCCATAAGTTCACGGCATTTTGGTAATGGTAAAAGATCGCCTATATTAGCAGCAATATCAACTTTTCAATATACTACTTGCCCTTTCATTGCTGATTGATGATCACGAATGATTAATATACTCATGTAACAATACATAAGTGCTATACTCCTCTGTTCAGGAAAGCCTAATTTGAAACACATCGGTGTTATGGGAATTTCCATAATATTTCGAAAACGAGAATATCGACAAAAAGGTATATTATGTTTTGCTATAAAATCATAACAAAGTGAATAAATTATATCACCAAAAAACAGTTATGATTTTCTTCATGTGCTTTCTTTGCTGTTCTAATGTTACATAATGGATTTTCGGATGCAAAACATTTACAAGAACACCGTGACTGTTGAAATTAAGATAAATACCTATTAGAGAGGCTCATAGTGGAAAAAATAAATAATAAATGTGATTATTGTACCTTTCACTGAGAAAGTTATGTATTATTCGTGCGTCAAGAATCTCTTCAGTGATATTTGCATCAATATTTACTAGTGAAACTGACGAGTCTTCTTGATTACTGCTTGCTTTTCTTCTTTATTCTTACTGCTTTATTAGAATAAATAATTCTGAGTTATTTTTACGGTTTTTACAGGGTTTTTGGTTTCGATTAGTTTGAGTTTTCTTACGAGATGGTCTTGATTTCCCATTTTGTGGAACTCACATATATTTTCGAAGAAAACAGTGAGTGTAAGTTTTAAGTTCGAGTTTTCGCGGCTCCCCCCCCTCCACCCCTTACAGACCATAGCAGGCCTATTCCATGGGGTTTCGATCACAAAAAACACAAGTATCTTGAAATCGATCGAAAGTTACTCTATTTTGTAGAGCTCAATCAGTTATATTTACTATAAAAAAATCAGTTTAGAATACCATTTTATTAGGGAGATATGAGGTCCAAAATTTTAGCTAGAAATTGCCATAAATGCTAAAAAGCCAGAAAATTTGAAAATTTGGTAAATTTTGTGGTCTTCACTTTTTCGATATTAAATGACCGAAAATTAATTCCCATTATATATTCTTGTTCCTCGTGATCTGCCGCATTCGCTCATATATTGCTTTTTATTTTTCATGAACTCGATAAAAATTTTTCCAGAACCATTCTTGTACTCTATCACAAAATGAGGGTGCTCAAATTCGGTCCATAGGAAGTCGATTAAGACGGATTCCACAATTTGGTGACTTAGTGGGTTTTGTAGAGGAGACTTTGCTCTATCATATCCTATATATGGAATTTTATTCCAACTCGAAATGATCAAGATATTAGCGTCGACTTTTTGTGGAAATAATAGTCCATAATCAAGCAAATCTGTAAATTCAAAGATTTTACTGAGAAATGTTTATTCTTATGGATAACCAAATGTAACCAAAAAAACAATTATCTAACATTAGAAAACATCTTTTAACACTTCGATTGACACATGAAAAGTTACAGTTTGGCTAGGTATTGATCTATATAGAGTCAATATAATAGAATGAACAATATATGATAATAAATAAGTTGGAAAAATTCCTGATCAAAAGGATTTATAATTTTAACTAAACAATCATGTATTTATATTTTATAATGCTTATTAAAACCTAAGTTTATGGAGAAATTAAAACCCTCTTATATCTTCTGCAAGAATATATATCATATAGGATTATGTTCACTTTAATGTCATTTTGATGGTATCTTGAAATATATTTAATATTGTGAGTTTTTGGAGAAATATATGTTTGCAGAAAAGATTTTAAACACATAACAAAACAAGTAAGGTTCATC